ATAGGTTGTTTGTCTTTACTAATTTATAACGTTCGCTTGGTGAATATTTACGAAAAGTCGCACAATTGTATAAATTACAGTGTTTATCTTTACATACGACACAAGCATGCTGAAGTGATGTTGACGTAGCGGTTACGTACGTTAACGACCCTGCTATTTTAGATGGTTGAGTCTGTCTACGGTCGACGCACCTTTTAATCTCCTGTTTAACGTTCGGAGAGCGCTGCATCACCTTTATTTGATCTCCCACGAATGATGCTAATGAATGAAAGGAAGGCATCTCCGAGCTACGATGCTCCATTTCAAACGCACGCACGGTGTCGGGGTCTAATTTCTTTAGTGCAATATGGAGAAACACCACGTCCATAAGGTCATTAAATTTTAAATTCTTAAGTGCAGCCACCGATGCCACAAATTTATCTAGAAACTGCTCTAAGTCGTTGATGTTCGCGGATGATATAGGTTTAAGATCGAATATCTGGTTCAAATATTCTGAAGCTAACATTCTCCTATCTTCATATTTAGTTTTAAGCGTTTCGAATATTAATAAGTAATTGTTTGCTGTAGGTGTAAAACCCGAGCAGATCGACTGTGCCCTGCCACTAAGTTAACTAATTAAGTAATATAATTTTTCAGCGTCCGATAACGATGGGTTATTGTGTATATTGTTTTGAAAACTACTGAAGAAGAAGGGCCACGTCTTAATATCACCATTGAATACCGGAATATCTATTGGCGGCAACCTAATTGAGTCACGAGGACGTACCTGTAATTCCGGCTTTGCTTCGCTTTGAGATTGTAGGAGTTTTGCCGTTCTTTTCACGCGACACAACATATCTTCGAATGCCAGCAGCGGTTGGTAGTTCACTATGTATTTCGGGTCGATTTGTAATTTCAAATGATTAATTTGGTCTAATATTCTTTCGTAATCCGTCCGCAAAGAATCCACCGTTTCAATTTCATTCAGAAAAGTTTCCCGCACCGCTTCTACATTAATGTTCTTTACGTGATCGCTAATGCTTTGTATACGTGAAAAAAGTACGTCCCTCTTGGCATAAAGCGTTTTAATTTTAAATTCATTTCCACTAACTGCCATTTTAAATTATTATAGTGAAGTTATATTAATCACAATTAATCTCACGCGCATAAACGATGGACGATGGACACTCGGTATGCCGTATTACGTAATTAAATCGAACAACTGTTACAGTCGAGGCGACGCGTTGCTCGCTAACTCAATATTTTTATCAAGATTGTCGGGTAAGCGTACCAAACGGTTGCTATCACACTGTTTCAATTTTAAAGCTTTAAATTTAACCAAATACGAGCGCTATGAAATAAACAATTCTGTTTGCGAGTGCCTAATCAAAATTTAAATTTAAACGAACATTATTTACACTATTTACGAACACTAATTATTCGACCAGAAAATGGTTGGATGACCACTAAACACCAGTGCAAATCCGGCTCGAAGGACCATAAAATGGTGGAGCCACGTGTCTAAGGCTGCCGAAGTCTAGTTCCCCGGTCGAACCTTAAACCTATTACGCGAGATATTAATCTAAGTGGACTGTATCTACTAAATGTTTCTACACTTATATATGCGGTACAATGCACTCGCTCTTCCCTAAAAACGAACTATTATTTGCCAAATCGATGAAAGGAATCCTGCTTGATTAGGAAAACACATAATTGGAGCGGGTTAAAACAATTATATCAAGCGGGCTATAATATTGGATATTGACTCACCGGGATGTTTCTTCTATGCGGTCGAGCACTATAACTGCGACTTCTGGAACTTCTTCTGGAACACTCCGGAGAGGGGCGGTGCGCGACTATATCCCACACGAGGTGAGGCGGGTTTCCTGGAGCTCGACTGCTTCCAGGCTAAAGCGGTTTCTACTAGTGATGTGGTTCCAATGACGAGCGCGGCGGGAAGAGGCTGCGCGTCGGTCGCGCGTGCCTTATATATCCTCGGTTCCGATGATTACGTGATGTTCTAGAATCATCTTCTTTCCCCTCCCACCCCACCATCCCGATGTGTCGATAGGAGGGTATGAATGATATCGTTTTGGAAAGGGATAACTGATTTGGCAGCCTACCGTCAAATAAAATAAATACGAATGGTTTTCCGCGCAACCAATATATATATATATATATATATATATATATATATATATATATATATATATATAAACACACCGGCACAATTAGCGGAACACAAAAAAAGCAGGATTTTAAAATCTTTTACTTGAGCAACTGGCCAGTTATGATATTTTTTTAATTTATTGTCAAATTTGAAAATAGAAAATTAGATGACATACACTTTTTTCATTCATTTGTTTTATTTTCCCGAACAATACGTTTTGTCAACTTGTTCGAGTAATGACTACGTAATTGTAATTTTTTTTGAAAAATTGCACTTAATGGTTTTTTATAAATTTGTTATTCTATAGGCAATTTTGTTTATTAAAAGCTCTTTATTATGCCTGACTTAACATCACTGGAAATCATTAGGGCTGATGAAATGAGAAGAAATGACCATACCTACAGATCGATTGCCTCAAGGCTTCGTCGACCAGTATCAACGATTCATCGCAGCATCCAGCGGTACAGATCGTCTAATTCTCTTGTGAGGAAGAGGGTTCAAGGTAGAAAAAGATGTAGATCGAGGCGAGATGACAGTTTTTTACAATTTGGAGTTCGTAGGAATACGCGATTAACGGCTGTACAAGCTCGAAATGAACTGGAAGACGTTCGAGGAGTACGAGTAAGTGAGCGTACAGTTCGCAGGAGATTTGAAGAAGTTGGTTTAGGGTCGTATATACCTGCCAAAGGCCCAAAACTTGAGAGACGTCACTGCGTAAACCGATTAAGCTATGCGCGAGAACATCGTCATTGGGATTTGAACGAATGGCAGCAGGTTCTCTTTACTGATGAGTGCAGAGTTCTTTTAAAACAGATCGATGGGAGACAGCGAATATGAAGACGCAAAGGAGAACGCCACATACAGTCTAATTTTGAATACACAGTGGCTTATGGTGGCGGCTCGATTATGGTTTGGGGAGGGATATGTTTGGAAGCTCGCACGGAGTTAGTGATAGTCACAGGAGGGACTATGACAGCAGATCGATACATCAGAGACATTTTAGAAGAACATGTTATATCATTTGTCCCATTTATTGGTGACGACTTTATTCTAATGCAAGATAATTCTCGTGCTCATAGTGCACAATCGGTACAGGCATATCTGAGCCACGTAGGTATACCGGTGATGCAGTGGCCAGAAAATTCCCCCCGATATGAATCCGATAGAGCATGTCTGGACCTTGCTAAAAAGAAGGGTTAAATCCATAATGCCACCCCCCAACAATCTGAATGAACTTGAAAACGCATTACTTGAGGAGTGGGAGCGGTTGCCTCAAGAAATCACCGATAACATAATCTGTAGCATGCCCAGACGAATGAAAACCGTAATCAGAGCAAGAGGGAGAAACACTCGTTATTAATTTTGCTTTAATTTTATTGTTAAATCATTTAATGCTTACTTTTTTTATTTTTTGTGATGGTTCATAATCATCTAAAAATTTCACTTATTTCAAATTTCTTTATTTTTCAATAAAAAATAACGAAGACTTTTCAAAGTCGTTGTTAAAACATGTTAATCAATTTGTTATTTTGTGTCTAATTACATTTTCGACAAATATATTATCTCATAGTCTCACTTTTTTTCTGTTCCGCTACTTGTGCCGGTATATATATATATATATATATATATATATATATATATATATATATATATATATATATATATCATTTGTCACCCTATCCTATAAAAAAAAGCAAATAATAAAAAGTGCGGTTGCCAACCACCTATATACCAATCTATAGGGGAGGATTATTCTCAAGTGGAATTTGATAGCTTGTGATGGATGATGTGGGATGTGGTTATGCTTTGATGGAATGCTAAGTGCTGATTTTCTAAGTGCTTATAGATAAAGGAAACAATTATAAGAAAAGCTACATGTCTGAGAAGTTAAAAATACTTCGAGGAAACGTGAAGTTCGACAACACGCGTTGGATCTTGCGCTGTTGCTTGCTCCATAACTCTCTCAGAACTGAATGGAGATCAGTGCTCTGCAAGAAATGCGTAGGCTATTAAAAAAAGTCCCGTTGGATTTCTTGCTGGTTCTTCCCAGGACAGAGGTTTTTTCCTAACCAGTAGTAAAAGCATTAATGACTCTTAATAAGTGTTCTCGTAATATATGAATAAAAATTATTTTATTTTATATTTTTGTTTTCGTGGCTTTGCTTTGGGAACTTGTGTTCAGCACTGGACTTGTGAATTTTTTAAACTTATAATAAGTTTTATGATAAGCCATTGCTTGACCACAAGCCTACCTCGTGGTAAGTGATGATGAAACTCTAGATGGGAAATCCAACTGTCTTAGCATAACAAAAACCGATTAACTCTTGCCGTTTAATGTAATTATAATAATCTTACTTGATCTATATGGAACTTTTTATTTCATCATCTCTGTGGTACCTATCGGAGGCAGAACCAAGCCATGCTTCTGTCGCTCCTGCAAAATTGAATTACGCCATAAGCAAGAGTGCTACCACGCCTGGTCTCACGTATCGATGTCTCAGGATGCCAATACCAGTGCTTTAAAAAAGAAGTATAATTCCACCTCCAAGTGCAGATTAGCAAATATGCCTCTTGCAGATTGACAAACGCCAGCAAATTATTCCACTTCTTTGCTGAACGCATTACAAAAGATGAAGCAAGCGGTTTGGTTCGAATGCGTGAAATATCGAGAACAAAGGCTAAACCCATTAATGTCGTTTAAGGCTCCGTAATATTTGTCGTAAGGTGTAAAGACCCGCCGATTGCTTGTTTGCCTGATGGTGCAAAAAGGAGGAAGGAATTAAAGCATGTAAATTGATTCTATTTTTTTACTTTGATTGTTTATAACAAACCTTTATATACTTTTCAACAGATGCCGTAACCGACGAAGATGTTAACAGCTCCCAAGTAGCTTCTGCTGCTTCTTTAACTAGCACGGACGTGGAAGATGAGAATGATCAATGATTACTTGAAGACTATGATTTATTTACATGTTTTTTATGTGGTTTTGGTATTGATGAATTTTAAAAATTTGTTTTGAGAAAATAAACATTAAAGTTAAATAAGATTTCATTTCTTTTTATAGAATAAGAGTGACAAACGAGCACGCAGTCCACATGACGGAAAGTAAATCCTGTGGTCCATATATATGCAATATGAATTATTATACAGATGCGTTGTCATGCGAATACCTCGTATCCAGTTAAAAACGTCTCCGGTTTTGGTATTCTGTGAGAGCGTGGTCCTTTCCCGGTCGAGTCGACCCATTCATGCAACAACTATAACATAAAACTGAAACTGAAACATGGCTCTACCACGTACTATCCACTCCACTGTCCCTATGTTTGTTGGCGGACTTTATATGTCTGTAAAAAATTTTTTGGGGGTCTCCTTATTTTCAGACGTGCAAGTTACCTCACGATGTTTTCTACGTGGCCAAGAAAGTGGTAAATCCAATATTTAAAAATGCAATTAACAATTTCATTGGTGCTGGCGGAGATCGAACCCGGGGTTGCTCACGAAGTAAGTTCGCTCGTCTGTTTTTTGTCTTGTTAAATAAAACTATTTTGATTTGTGTTCCGGTGAAGTGTTTAAATTCATGAACATTAACAAATAGGTTTGGGTTGAGTTATTGCATATTGCTAAATGCTTTCGCGAACAATTTAATCTATATATGTAAATCTCTAAAACTATACACCTGAATGACTTGAAATTTGGTATAGTTACTGATTTCGCAATTTAGACGAGACTCACTAAGAACGGATCTTACGATAGGCTCATCCTCAGACGAAATAAGAGTTTTTATTTCGTCTGAGGTCTCATCGAAAAAATCTTGATATTTTACATTAAAGTTCCGCAATAAAATATTATATTTATTTATTTTATTTAGTATGCTTTATTCCATATATCACCAAAAAAAAATTACAGATTATATATAATAAGTCCTTACCTTTGAGTGTTGGTTGAATACTCAAAAGTCCTTACATATGAAATTGGCGTTTTGTACGAGAGGAATATAAATCAATTTTTTTTGTAAAATATATTTAATTAATCAAAGTATTCACCGTTGTTATCTATGCACTTTTGCCATCTCATAAGTAGTTTATTGATCCCTTTACTAAAAAAACCATGGAGGCGAGAATCAATAAACTCTTTGAAGGTGGTTGTGACTGCCGCATCGGAGTTGAATTTTTTTCCTTCATGGTTTACAGTTCTGACAATAGATATCTACCGTAAACGTTAGGCCAGATTTTAGAAAAAAAAATAATGAAAAAGCAAATGAATGACTGTTTTCAAAACTCAAATGTACCAGCTAAATGAATTTATAAATTTGAATTTGGAATTCTTGACCAAAGAGGAGATATTTCAGATCAAAGTGGTCAATACGACAAAACACTAATTTCATATGTCGGTCTGATAGCAATTTCTTCCAGACAACCAATGAATGGACAGGACAAAAAGATGACAGGGGTAGGGCAAATTGGTGTGATAAAAAATAAAACACATTTTATATACATTTATAATAAACATACCTATACTACAAACAAATACATACAAAAAATAAAATAAATATATATTTAATTATTAAATTAAATCAATCAATATACTAAATATATTATACTTAATGACTAGTGTGGGAGCGAAGTTACAATTTAAGGTGCAAGGTAATGATTCTTTACTAGGTTTTTAAATATCGCACCTTAAGTATTAAATATACACGGAAGACATTATGTGATAATTTTATTCGCACTTGCAATAAAAAGTTTTTCTTCAGTCAGATTGTATGTAATTGAGAGCCAACTAGATTTATCAATTTTTTTACGCCTATATCGATTTTTATCAATTCATCCAGCTGCAAAAAATGGATAATTTACTGCAGTCCCAAATTCGTGATAGCTGTAAATTGGCGCTACCTGAAGGACTTAAAGATTTAATGTGTGATATCTCCCGAGAGGTGAGTATTTATATTGTGACGGCGTAAGAATATCCATGTACCTATTTCGTTTCGTGGGTGTATGAGGCTCCGGGATATTTTCCTAGAGGTGGGTTCTTACTGTGCAGTAACATAAGAATCCCTACCTATTTCATTCCATGAGTGTCGTATAAAGCTCAGTGATATTACCCTAGAGGTGAGTTATATGAGTGGATATTTTTATATTACCACAGTAGGTAATATAAAAATATCCACCTTACTATTTCGTTCCATCAGTTTCATATGAGACTCACTGATACTTCCCTAAAGGTATGTTCTTACTGCGTGATAGCGGTGTGAGAATATCCACCTACCAATTTCGTGTCATGTGTACCTATCATGTAAGTCTCCGTGATATTTTCCGAAAGGTGAATGTTTCTTCCTATAATACCATTTTTTTTTAAAATGTCTACGCACACCCTCCTCGAGAGGGCAGATCGATTTATGTCGGACTTGCACCGACTAAAACACCACGGTGTTCCACCTTCACCGCATATTATCGGGGCCACGGGAATGATTTCACTAGATGGCACGTCAATATATCAATTTCTATACATTTCAACCATATACAAAATGTGCCTCTGTAGCATTGCGTTACCTTCATATTATAACTAAAACTAAGCAATTGTAATCTATTGCTCAGTGAGGGGTGGATTAACTTCAAAATAAATTAAGCAACTGCCTATGACCTCATTTCATTAAAGAAAATGTAATTTTACTCGATATTTGTTAAATATATATATATATATATATATATATATATATATATATATATATATATATATATATATATATATATAAAAATTGAGAGTAGGACCCGCGTCCTGAAGGTTTTCAATATATCTATCGGGAATCTATACGAGATCTATAACGAGTTGGTCACACCACTTTCTTATTCTTATTACTTTCGTCCGCGTTATAATCGCCGAAGACACAACCGGGTTTGTGAAGGCCTGTGCTAATCAAGGGCATATTCGGTTTGGGCCGGAAACCGTTTTCCTGGCTATAGTGGCCATTGCAGAAAATGGTTCACCTACCGTACGTTTGGACAAATATTACAATTTTTTTTAAGTAATAGCCTTCCCTCCATTTCTATTTACTATTACTTGCTACAACTCTTTATAAACCGTAGTGCCAAATTTTAGAATTTTTGAACACATATTTTTTAGATACTAATTTTTCCTGTGAAGTGTACTTTTCATCTATTACGAGATAAGTTTTCAATGCTAATGCCTCCTAACGAAATTATTTGCAAAAAATTGTCATTAACACGATATCTTCTGTTTTCTAAAATATACCATTAAAATAAAACACACATTTTAGACACTGAGAGCTCAACCGCAGAACCTGTACCAATTTATCACAGATTATCTGTCAGCGATGTTAGTAGTACGTGATAATTTGGCCACAGCGGCTAACCTATGTAAAGATATTTGCGATCTTAGTTGCCAGCCAGAGTTGGACGATGAATTAAGAAACATTGGAATAACCGGTGAGGATGCTGTAGAAGCAAAAAAGGTTATAATAGAATATTTGGAAAAAGATAAAGGTAACATTCTTCTGTGAGTTACTTTGTTTCTAGTTCTGTACTCTGTGTGTCTGCTTCGTTGGTTTGCTGATTGAAAACGCGACTGATGATCTTGAGGTCCCGGGTTCGAATCCCGGGTCGGGTCAAAATCAGTTGTTGGAGTTTTCTGACAAGAAGTTCTAAGTATCTGCCGGTGTCAGGAAGTTAGCGGTGTCTTACAACCGTGTCGTAAAAAACACGTAAAGCCGTTGCTCCTGCGCCTGATCTCTCTGTGTTCGGTAAACCGACACAACCCGGCCGATTTGGAGGACTTTATTCTGTGAGATCGTTGCTTTCCTTTTGTTACAACCATAGAATCAGCATGCTTCTTCTACGAAAAAATAAAAAGAAGTAGTGTGACTACCGTTGATAACTGATTTAAAACTGATATTTATGTTAGCTATAGTTTATAGTAATTTCTAGATGCTTGACATTCATTGTAAACATATACACATCTTGATTTTAGTTAAAGAGGATAACTTGCTAATTAAGCTGATGAAGAAGACAAATATAGATAAAGATAAGTTACCAGCAGTTCAAAATGCAGTAACAAGAGCTTTTAAGGGACGAAATTTAAACCAAGCCACATTCTTTGATGTTAGTATATTTTAGACGGCTCACAAGGTGAAGTGACGACCTAGCAAGACATGCAGAAAGTCGATGGATGCAGGTGGTTCTGGACCGTGCTTTGTGGCATTCCTTTTTTTTTTAATTGTCAAACTGTTTAACGATATAAATTAAGATTATTTATGTCGTAGGATAATTAGATATACCGAATTTTCGGGAAAAATCTAGGGATATCGTGAAAACACAGATAATGGTTATGACATTTCCCAATCTTACTGAAAAAAGATTAGGGGTTTTGCCACTTTTAATATACTTACCTCTGATTGGCTTGATTTTGGTTAATAGGCGTATAGTTTATGAGCAATAATTTTTTTTTGTAAAATGATAACCTATCTTTTTACACAGGAATATTGACCCAAAGTTACTTCTGTAACAGCTTCGGCGCTGCGGGAAGTGCAGCCCCTTCGTGGAGGTGAACATGAGTGACTGGAATTTATTACTGCGGGCGGGGGCTGCTCGCCTTCTGCGCCTACGGCTTTACAAAAACACTCTAGGGCTGGGGCAGACAAGACTACATGGAGTCGGGGAGTGCTGATTCCGTTTTAGAACAGATTCGACCAATCATCTAATTGTCCGTGTTTTCGCGATATCCCTAAATTTTTGCCGAAAATACGGTTTATCTAATTATCCTACGACATATATATAATTTGAGTGTAGCATAGGAATACACGGATTGTACCTTAATAAATTATTGATGTCTATATTCAGATTAACAACAGCAATAATGCAGACGAGGCCACTAAAGCTGTCAAGCATACTCTTGACTTGTACAGTAAAGCCGCTTCCAATGTGGAACATAATCAGCAGGAGGAGGTAATAGTTACTTATTTAGGAAATTTTTATTAAATTTTTCTTTGAGTTGAGAGTGAGTTGAGTGAGTTGAGAGATAAATGTGGTATGCAAGATGATTTTGTGATCAGGATTAAGAAAGGAATGCTTCGGTGGTTTGGTCATGTAGAAAGAATGAATGAGGAAAGAGTGATAAAGCAAATTTAATAATGGCAGAGTCGGGAAGGGAAACCCTAGAAAAAAGTTTATCGACCAAATTGGCGATATTTTGAAAATGGGCCACGTTAGAAGTACCTTTAACCGACGAGCATGGTACTTTAACGACGTAGATATATGGATGTAAGGGAGGCGAAAGAGGTATCGTGCCAAATGGAAGTCCGTAGTCTCTGCCTACCCCTCTGGGTGACGTGAGTGTTTATATATTTATGTATTATGTTCTTTGAGTCTACCGTCCTTATATACCTTACTTACTACTTATATAAACATGAAACCTAACGAAGTGTTCTCTACATGATGATCAAAACAGCATCTAAATCCGTTAGTAATTTGTAAAATTTGAGCCTTCAGTGATCACGTATCCGCCTTTTTGTCACTCTCTGTCATACTCTTACTATCAGGTGCATTGTATGTGCGTTAGTCACCATTGCTTATACAAAGAAGATCTTTGTTATCGATTTACATTTGTTACAAAAACTTGTCTCTTTTTTCATTTACCACTGGTTGGGAAAAAACCTTTCTCCTGGGAAGAACCAGCAAGAAACCCAGTGTTTGTTAACAACACAAAACAAATTAGTAAATGCTTGGTAGCGATTACCTTTCCTAGGAGTTATTATCATCCATAAATTCCTTAACATTATAATAACCCTATGATGTCGCCTCTTACGATATCCACCGTATTATGATACATACCCTTTTACGATACACATGATACTTAGGTACTATACCTACCTTCTTACGATACACACGCCGCCACATAATAAATAGTAGCGTAATGCTGCTGTGTTTCGTAAGGTGAGTGTAGAGAACCGTTTTACTGGAAAAGAGGCATTCCATCTTAGTCCTCACGGGTGACAACGAGGATACATGTAGATGCCTATGGGCCACAGCAACCACTTACCGTTAGGTGGACTGTGTGCTCGTTTGTCACCCTATCCTATATAAAAATAGACGTCACATAATATACCTACCCTCTTAAGATACACATGATACTTACTATACCTACCCTCCTACGATACACATGATACTTACTATACCTACCCTCTTACGATACACATGATACTTACTATACCTACCCTCCTACGATACACATGATACTTACTATACCTACCCTCCTATGATACAATGTACTTACTATACCTACCCTCCTACGATACACATGATACTTACTATACCTACCCTCTTACGATACACATGATACTTAATATACCTACCACACAGATACTTACTACCTACCCTCCTACGATACACATATACCTACATACTTACTATACCTACCCTCCTACGATACACATGATACTTACTATACCTACCCTCCTACGATACACATGATACTTACTATACCTACCCTCCTGAACACAACCACCCTCCCACGATACACATGATTCTTACTATACCTACACTCTTACGATACACATGATACTTACTATACCTACCCTCCTACGATACACATGACTTACTATACATACTGTTACGCGCTCAAGTCGACGATACACTAGCGCCATCTAGTGTCAGGGACGAGAGCGAGGGGAGCATTGAGAAAATGACATCACAAATCACTCAACCGACAGCGCCTAGTCGAAACTCGAACGCTCGATACCTTGCGCGTGTTTACTTGAACATGCTGCATATTTCTTTGCTAATTTAAATAAATAGGCGCTGCAAGATGCGATCGGAGTAGTGTTGATTTGGCGAGACAAGCGAAGCTTCGGAGCGGAATAAAGTGAATTAGTGTGTTTAATTATTAGTGTTTTCAACTTTAATTTGTGTAAAGCAAATTAAAGTGTTAATTTAGGTAATTTTATCGGCACTTTTTATTGTCACGAACCTCAAGCTCGTAACAATACCCTCCTACAATACCCACGTCATGCACGAATGAGCATGATACTGGTTTCTTAAATCCGTCGCCACGTGACCTCTAAATCCCGTAGTACACTTCAATGGGCTGATGTAGCCCATTAAAGTATACTACTGGATTTGGGCATCCCTCACTGTAGTTATTATAGTTATTATACATATACAAATTCCGTTGAGGCGGTACAAAATTACCCTCTATCGAACTGTCAAATGAAGGTCATAATTTATTCAATCATTAATTGCAGGTTAATAGAAACAGCAAACTATAGGCCTCCCCAACGATTGTCTCATAGGAGTAATTTTTGCCATAGCTGCCACCCTTAACTTTACAGGTTGGCGGTGTAAAAATATCCACTAGTCTATATCATCCTGTATATTTCATAAGAAGCGATAGAGAGAAACTTAAATATGACAGGGACAGCAGCATGGTCCTGATATCAACTCAAAATTATTAAAAAACATACAAAAACGCCCCCTATGAGGCAATATATGTGGGTGGCCTTATGAGCCAGCAGTAAACACTTTTAGGGTTACGTAATTAATAGCCACGCTTAGCATGTGGGTAAGCAAGCGATATTTTAATAAAATATTGATTTTCTGCCATTTCCTCGTCACCCTTAACGACACCCACACAAACACAAAAAGTGACTGGTGGAGTAAAAAAATACATCACGGATTCTTATACCGCGACTATATGACGTACTGTACTATTATATATCTGTATAACATACTGTTTATAGGCGGTGTAAGAATACCTACTACCCCATGTCACCCCGTGGGTGTCGTAAGAGGCAGCAGCGTCTTCCTGATAAATAACTAAAAGAAAAAAACTGCGTTTGCCACTTATTACAAACTAGCGCACAGTCCACCTGAAGGTAAGTGTAGTATCCTCGATTACGAATCAACGTACACACCAATGCCAGTACACATCATGGCACCCGTGAGGACTAAGATGGAATGCCTCCTTTCCAGTAAAAAGGATCTCCGGTTCTCTACACTCACCATACGAAACACAACAGCGTTAAACTGCTATTTTACGCTGGTCTTCTACGAGAGCGTGGTCCTTCCCCGGTCGAGCCGATCCATTCGTGCTACAACTATATTACTAATATAGCTGCAGTACGGCTCTACCACGTAAAAAATGTAGGTACTATGACAAATATCCTATATTAAATATCCTAATATTAGGCAATCTGTGAGGAAAGCCTATATTCAGCAGTGGAGTCTTAATAGGCTGTAACAGTAATACCTGAAACGATAAGACTGTCATGTCATTGATGTAGAGATTACACAAATCAACTTTTTTTACATTTGTTTTAGATTCAAGATTTATACACGTCGAACGACTGTACATGTAAGTATAGTTTTGTTCATCAGTTTATAATTAAGTAGCTCTCCTTTCATTGCTGGGCCCGAGCCTTCTCCAATGTGGGGAGGATTGTAAGTAGCAACTGGTCCTAAAGCACTTTGGGGAGGATTTTGTTCTACGATTTCAATTCATTGAAATTTAACATTTATTCGTGGTAATTATCACTCATTCATCGCATAGCTTTTTAAGTCAACAGCTAGACATCTAAATTTTCAATAATGATAGCTAAGTCAGAAATTCCCACCAGGTAATGTTGCTTCCAAAGCATAATTTGTAAAGTTATAGTGCACTGTTTAAGATAGATTTTTTTGTCATCTATAAATAGCTAGAGTCTTTTATACCTTTTCTTAAACTAAATTGTGTAGAAAATAAACTTAGCCTTTTTCAGACAGTGAGACACAATCATTTACATCTCCACCTTGTTCTTTCACACCATTTTCTATAACAAAAGATCACTCAATTGACAATGGATTGGAAAAAGAGCACCGCCTCATTAATTATGATCAAGGATACAGTGATAAACCAATATTTAATAAACAACCATCAAAGAAGCGAGTACACATGCATTTATCTGATACAGAATGTGTTTTCGATGAGAAAGTATTAGATGACTTTGATAAAAGAGAAATTGATGAAAGCGTTCAACCGATACCTGAAGATAATAAGAAAATATTGGATCTAATTGATTATGATGAAATGGTTGAAGATGAAGCTGTAGACGCCGATGATGAATCAGAAATATCAATCGAAGAAGAGCAATATGAATGATGGAAAGACAAGAAAGACATTAATAATATATTTAATCTTTTAATTTTTGAATAAAGTACTTTAGATTCCAACAGTGTTTATTATGATTTTTCAAATTCTTACATTAAATTACAAACTAATCGTAGGGCAAATCTTAATTGTAGACGTTTAAAAATATTTTTGGTTAGAAACATAGTACAAAATTTTCATACAGTAAAAATAAATTAAGCTTTATTCACTTTTTAAAAACATACATATTATGTACTATGCAATTTGAATAAATGCTTCACTTTAATAATATATGTGTAAACATTATACTTATGCACAAATATAGTCAAAAACAATATAATGAAAAACAAATTATCAAAGGACCCTATATTTTTAATAATAAATAATATACATAAACTGTATAGAGTATTTCGACCGATATCTAAGTTAAATTTACACAACAGTAAAATTAAAATAACCTTAACTATCTGTGGTTAATGCTTAAATAACAGAACTTAGAATTAGATTAGTAGGAATCACAGCAGATCTATATACGTATCACTAAAACATTTTTGTAACACCAATAGCTGAACGTTTACAAACACTGTAAAATTGATAAGAATGGAACAGCTGATTCGTTTTTGGTAAGACAAACGCAGCACGCGATAGACTAGGGGTCTTCATAATAAATATAATTGTTCGAATTGCAGTTACCCTTATAATTAATTATTCTTATTTACAAATAAACTATATTATACCAAGTAAAATCTAATATAGAAAACAGTATATGTTGGTACACCTAAACTAAATAATAGGTCATTACGCAATGAATTTCTCAATCTTACGAATACTGAAGTTCTTGCAACAGCATTGTCAAATTAGGTGTTAACTCAACCTAAAATCTATCTATATAAAGTAAGAATAGGAATTCTTTTGAGCGATCAAATAAGTTGGAGATCCCACAAACTTTGGTAAATCCGAAACTTGTCACTGTCATAGACAAGTTAACAAAGTATTAACATGCATACGCTACTAAAAACAACTTTAAAAATGTTATTTCAAATTATAATCAATTTGTTATAAAATTAAACACAAAAATTACTTATAATTTTGATTTTTGTGTATGTGTTGAGAGAAAATTTACAAGTCGCGCTAATTAGCACTCATTATTTCTTAAATTTAGTAAAAAAAGTTATAGGTAAATAACTTTGAAATGTAATTTTATTTCAATGTTAACATTGCATTAATTTACATTTACAAATAAACGCAGCACCGAATACAGTATGTTAATGAACTTTGTACAATTTTAAAGCTTCAAATTCATATTCTAAACACAAAAGACTCCAAAACAAAACACAAATAAATGTTCCATAAATTTAAAAGTAAAACAATTGAAAAGTTCTACTGTTTCTATTGTTTAAAAGTAGAAAATCACAAAATAAAATAAAAAAACTTATCGAAAAAGATCTTGCAAAATAATTGCATTATCATATACAATTTTGCGTTTAATTGTTTGATTTTGTTAATTGTTTATGGTTATCAATCAAATAAGTTATGAATCTGAACTGCAGAGTTTTTGTTATAAATATAAACGATAACAGTAATGTCTTAGTAATGCCTACTCTACGCGGATCGTCTGATACTCCAAAGGATTTGATGCATATAACAAGACTGGGCTGACCCGGCAAGTTGTCGATTAACAGCAAGTTAATCGACAACCCATCAAAGAAGCCTGACTGAAGTTGCCAATTCGCGCGAACGTTTTTACTTACTTTTTAATTTTGCTTCAGCTTCACTTTTTTCATAAAAACATGGTTCAACGGTGCTCCCTCGGGTTCGGGAAAAGTTTGAAGCTGAATGGTTGGACAATCACGTAAAGCCAGCATTACATTATTTCTTGTTATGAATTTTTATGACACATCAAAATTATATTTCGAAATGGTGTCATATTTTTGTTACACACAGAAATTACAATCTCAAATAGTGTCATATTTTTGCTACACACAGAAATTACATTTTGAAATGCTGACACATTATTCACATTTCAAGATTATCTTTATTAATTTTATAGTTTTAACTTAGTTATAAAGTTTTTAATACAGTTTAAAATGTATTCTATTAAAATTACACTATATATAAAGTGTAAATTTTTACAAAATGTAATATTCCTGCTTAGTTGGACTTAATTCTTTAAATATGAACCATATAATATATCAAAAATTGTAAACTACAATTCTTGTACAATTTTGCTAAAATGTGTAAAATTTTATGAATCTGTAATCGCCTAAGCGGTTATAGAGATATTTAAATGAAACAGACACCGAGCAAAAATTATAAAACAATATGTACTGGTGGTCAGATGGTGTCCACTCCACTTCCCATTAATTTGTTACCATATTCACTGAGTACCTGAAAAGCAGGAAAAAATTAATTACAGTACTTGTTTAATTTTAAATTGTGAATAATATAAATTACAGCATTTTTCTTGAATGCGCCAACTGCCAGTTGATGAGTAATTTGCCAATAATTGCCCACATTTACCTCCTTACGTTCGCAATCTGCTGGGCTTATAACCATTGAGCTAACACCCTTACACTGGCTATGGAAGCAGCTCCGATTTGTGGCATTTTGATTCAGAATTTTCAAATGTATAAGTTCTATCATTTTCGGTATCGGTGTGATTTAGCGGTCTTTATACCTATCAAAGACAAGGATGTAGGAGTGGGAACACGCGCTTGTTAACAAGCGCGTGTGAACTCGGGGCACTCGGCTCGCGCACAGTGACTCACCTTGTAGAGGATGTAGTAGTGGCGCAGTGACTCACCTTGTAGAGGATTATGTAGTGGTGGCGGTTGGCGAGCTCGTGCAGGCGCTGGGCACGCAGCTCGCGCACGGCTCGCGGCACGTCGGCCGCACCAGCTACAAGATGTAGTGGTGGCGCAGTGACTCACTTTGTAGAGGAAGACGTAGTGGTGGCGGTTGGCGAGCTCGTGCGGGCGCTGGGCACGCAGCTCGCGCACGGCTCGCGGCACGTCGGCCGCACCAGCTACAAGATGTAGTGGTGGCGCAGTGACTCACCTTGTAGAGGAAGATGTAGTGGTGGCGGTTGGCGAGCGCGTGCGGGCGCTGGGCACGCAGCTCGCGCACGGCTCGCGGCACGTCGGCCGCACCAGCTACAAGATGTAGTGGTGGCGCAGTGACTCACCTTGTAGAGGAAGATGTAGTGGTGGCGGTTGGCGAGCGCGTGCGGGCGCTGGGCACGCAGCTCGCGCACGGTTCGTGGCAAGTCGGCCGCACCGGCCACCAGTGCTCGTGCACACGCGTCCAGTGCCACGAATGCTGCCGACCTCCCTGCACCCGATGCACACACGCACACGCAAGGCCTCACGCCTGTAATGCAACCCACCCGTATTATACTCCGTTCCGAAGCGCCTCCATCAAGGCGGAAAGTAAAATAGCACTTAAATATTTTTTTATAATATCACCGTGTAGTAGCGATATAAGCATATCCACTACCCTATATCATCCCGTGGGTGTTGTAAGAGGCGACAGAGGGAAACAAACCAGGAGATGGCAGCAGCGTCAAAAAACTACGAGTGCCAACACGCTTGCCAAGCGGTACAACTACGGCAATTGCCCCACCTATGAGGCAACCTATGAGGGAGGCGTATGTTCAGCAGTGGACTTCAACGATATAGGTACGATGTAACGATAACGAATAATAACTTAAGACCGCCCCGCACCCGACGCCCACACGCTCACATACCGCCTCACGCCTGTAGCATGACGCACCACTTCTGTATTTTGTTCCAAATCATCACAGTCGTGGCGGAAGAAAGAACTAACATTAAGATTCTTATAGTATTAAATTAGAGTATCAGACTAACTAACAGTACACCTAAATGGTAACCAAAAATAACAAAGCAAGCTATCCACGTGCTCTTAAGACTACGTTAAAATACCTCATCATCACGTTGTCATCATCATTATAGTCTATTAAAGTCCACTGCTAAACATAGGCCTTCCCGAAAACTGTCACATAAGGTGGATACTTGCTATAGTTGCCATGATTGGCAACGCAACAGGACAACGCGACGGGTTGCCACCGCAGTTTGTTATCTTCTAGTTGTTATCGGACATGAACACATAGACATGCATTTATTCAGCAACTAACACTAACACAGTTTTGATACAGTAAATAAAATTATACATAAATACATCAAAGATAAAAATAAGTACTAGATAACAGACATAAAATGTCCGATTTGATTTATAAATCTGATTATGATGCAATAATGGAATCTCCCGAACAGGTAAATTAAATAAAATATAAAAAATAAAAAATAAACAATTGAGATGAAAAAAACCTCAACACATATCAAACACATGCGAAAAAAACACTTCTTCATTTCCTCCTATCATGACGCTTGGCAAGAAGAAAGTACACAATATAAAAGAAGTTTGCGATTTATTTGCTAAAAACATTTCTTCCATTTAATGTAAAAGGTGACGGCTCTCACCACCACTCACGAATACCAACTCCCACTGTACTACTAGAAATGGAAAACTTCCAAAGAACGCATAAATAACAGTAAAATACAATTTAAAATATTTGGAAAATCCAAAAGTGCAAAGGCCTTCGAAAATGTTGACTACCAAACTCTATTGCTTAAATTGAAGTCATTTGTTATAAACTAAACCTTTTTTAATTTGTAAATCACACCTAGAGGCACGAACACTAAAAGTTGTATTGAATGGCACTGAGTCTTATTCATTGACAACCTTATCGGGAGTGCCACAAAGATCACACCTGGGATCATTATTAATACAATACAATTGCATGATCCTGATTTTAGTAAACCATATATACAGACTGACTGTTCCGGTGTGGGTATGGCCGGAGTACTATATCAGATAGATGATAATAATGAAATGAAAATATAAGGCTATCACGGTAAAGCCTTAAAAGGTTCTGAATTGAATTGGTCTATCACTGGAAAAGAGTTTTATGCTGTAATAAGCTGTCTAAAGTAATTTGAGACGTATTTAAGGGGCACTAAAATAATAATATTAACTGATCATAAAGTATACCCCGCCATACCTCGCCACGCATTTAGCCAGTTTTTTTTTTTGCAGACGCTTCTCATGTGATCCCATGCAAATTTGATCAAGATCTGAGCAGTCGTTTTTGAGTTATATTGCGTATTTAATTGACTTGGACTAAATTGATGACATTCTCATTTTATTTATATTTAAGTTAGTTGTACAAAACTTTTAATTTTACTTCTTGTTATTCATTTATTCTACAAAATAAGCTAATACAATAGCAGTAATTACTCTTTTATAAAAATGTAAATAAAATAAAAATTGTTTTTACCTTCAATATCCGAAGCAGCTTTCATCCTACCAAGGGTCCCGTTATTAGCCCGCCTCAACAATTCCTCAGCCTTTGCTGGCGAATAAACATTAGCCCCGTTCCCAGTGGTGTTGTCGTCGCTGCGTAACTTCGACAAGTTATTGTATGACGATCTACTCTGATCGCCGTAGATCACTTCCACACCTGAAAGTATTAAAAGTACCTTATTGTTGTTTTACCATTTATAACTAAGTAAGAAACAAAAACAGAAACTTTTTTATTCAATTACATTATATTTAATGAAATTTGATATATAAATGAAAAAATTAGATTATAAATAGTACTCATTTAAAGTTACATTATTTACAACTGGTTCGAAAAAAGCCTTTGTCCGAGGAAGAACCAGCAAGAAACCCAGCGACTTTAAAAAAAACAGTTTACAATCATACACGTTACACAATTGACAACGCGAAACAAATTAGAAATAGCATGATAGCGATCATCTCATTCTCATCCACTATTATCACCCATAAATTCCTCAATATTATAAAACTTATTAAGACTTTTGATATAAACTTTTTAAGAATATTCATATCCAATAATTATCAAAGGGAAATTCCATCATAACTAACAGAGAAAATATTATGCTTTCATCTTAGTTCCTTTTAATATGTTACCCATATTTAATATGCATAGACGTCTTCTTACAGATATTATCTACCGAAGTTAAATGTGGGTTGCTATACAAAACAACGTCCATCTAATGCTAGCGGCAGAAAAGAATCAAACTTCAGTTTACGTGCGCAGTTTGCAAGACTCGACAAAATTCACACCGAGTACGTTCGCGGAAGTCTTGGTATGCATAAAAACGCCAAAAAGCTCCAGAAAACAGTACCTGAAAACTACATCGAAAACAAAGCCTTTAGTCTGAACATTTCTGGGCCTAAAAAAAGTTGCAGACCGAAAATGCGATCACAGCACCTGTAGATTAACTGAAAGTAATGCGTTGGATTGAGCAAAGTAGAAGCAAAAAATTGAAATCGCAGACAGACCGCGAAAAGTTTAAATAATAACTGAGGAAAGAGAGTGAAAGAAACTTAAAACGTGACATAAATTTTCATATTAATACGTATAAGGACGTGTGAAATCGCCCTTCCTTTCGTAAAGCAATTCAATTTTTCCAGAGCCGTGGTAGCTCAGATGGTTAACGCTCGCTGTAAATATAACAGAACGCGAGTAACCCGGGTTCGATCCCCGCCGGCACCAATGAAATTATTAATTGCAATTTTAAGTGCTGATTTACCACGTGCTCGGCGGTGAAAGAAAACATCGTGAGGAAACCTTAGGAATTTATGTACAGTAACCACGAGGAGTCGTGGAATTTGACAGACCGATGAAGCAGAAGAAGAATATACAGGATGGGTCCACCGACATTTACCTTAGACTGTCTTTACAACCTTTCCCATTGATAAAAGAAAAAATAATAGATAAAGATAAAAGATAGAAACTTGTAAAAAAAATAGATAACTTAAGCGAAGGTATGTACCTTCCTCGTCATATTCTTTGGCAGTCTGTGAGATCTTCATGTAACTTCTCATTTCTAAAAGGAATTCAATGACAGAATCGTAGTCGTCGGGGACTCCCTTCGCCGGCCAGAAATACCAAAGGTGCGTGAGCTCCCGCCAAGTTCTGGTACTCGTGTTGATCAACTGCACGGTGGAGATGGCGTACTTGTCACGTTGCTCCCGCTTCTTCAATATGATTTGGTAGTCCCCAAAGGTTCTCTTGTTGTCCGACACCTCAGATGGTGGTAGGTACTCGTAGCACTTCTCCTGATTAAAAGGAATAATCTGAGTAACTACAGATGAAGACGTATAGGAAAGGTATTTTTATAGACATTTGGGTGACAAACGAGCATACAAGTAGTAAGTGGATGATGTGCGTCATAGACTAGCAATCTATTCTCCATTAGGAATGGAAATGGAAATGTGTTGTCACCCCTGAAGATAAAGGTGGAATGCTTCCTGCATCATATATGTCAACTCTGAGAACTAAGGTAGAATGTCTCGTCACCAGTAAAACAAGTCTCCGATTCTCGTTACGCCATCTAATCTTTATCAATACTCTAACCTATTTGTTTTTATTAAGTAATTAAGTATTCATTTGTTTAACCATTTACTAAGGATTGAGTATCAAACTTCGAAACATCTTCCCAATCTTTTGGATATATACGTAGTTAAGTAGGTAGCCCACAGACATCTACATCTATCCTCGATTAAGAATCAAAATTCAGATGTATTGTCACTCCTGAGGACTATAATGGAGAATGCCTCGTTTCCAGTAAATTGATATCCGGTTCTCTACACTCACCATACGAAACACAGCAGCATCAAGCTTTGCAATGTTGCCGTAACGTTTCTTATTGCCCTTTCGTCTATTTAAACCGTCCTCAAAATTATTAAATAAAGCTTACCACACCATTCTCCATGTACTCCGTGAGCATAACAATGACCCGCGAGTTCTGCTCCCAGATCATGCGCCAGAAGTCCACCACGGTGTTGGACATCGGTGCTTGGCAGAGTATGTAATAGTTACGTATGTTGCCAGGACCCTGAGAAGTACATCATACAAATATTAAATATTTAAGTAATAAGTATACCATCATAATCAAGGAATAAATATTTGATGCTGAAATGCAAACTGGGCCCTGCAAGCCTAACATAAAGGGTATTTATCCGGTCGACAAGAGGCCACCATGAGGCACGCTGGTGAGGTCGCGGGTATGTGGCCCTGCCAATATGCTGCGATGGTGGAACACCAAAGTGTTTAAATCAGTGTGGGTCTGAGATAACTCTTCCTTATCCCCGTATGGCGGGTGTGCGTAGGCATTTCCCCATGAAAAAAAAAGCCTAGCATGAATGTAATTTCCACTTCTTCTTCTTTATGAGCCCCTGAAGCCCACAGTTAGATATGGTCTTCTCCTGTTGTGGCAAGGATTTGCTTTGATCGACACGCTTGGCAAGCAGACTAACGATTGCAGTACCGGACATGAACTTAGACGCTGTAGCCCATCGCCAGTCTGGGTATTTTACGTCTGACGTGAATGCGATGGTTACACCACCATCTTCTTTTATAGAACAGGGGTGACAAACGAGCACACAGTCTACCTGATGGTAAGTGGATGCTGTGGCCCATAGACATCTTCAACGCATCTGCATTTCTCGAATCGAAATGCAGATGCGTTGTCACCCCTGAGGACTAGAAGGGAATGCTTCATATCATGAATATGAAACAAAGCAGTAAGCTGCTATTTTACGCTGGTAATAGGTGAGAGCGTTGTCCTTCCCCGGTCGAACCGACCAATTTTTGCTGCAAATACAATACGGCTTTATCATGTGTGTACCACTTAAAAATCTACTGGAATTTAGTTTCAATTTAGGTCCCAAGATAGATCGCTTTTTCAATAGCATGATTTCATTTAGAGTATATATGGAGATTAACTTTGATTTTGAATAAATTATTTGCAGATGTGGGATCAACGGGGCACTGTTCAAATTTCATTTATAATGGTGTTCCCAATACAAAACATTCCTTACAATTTTCAGCTCCTTTCGAATTTGTGTAACCTCTTTGTAAAATGTCTTTTTAACCGCACTATAAATCTAAATAACGCTACATTAATAGATCTTAAAACGCTGGTAGTATACAATCATGTTATACAGAGGTATTTTTCAAAGAGAAGCCAAACTTTAAACTTAAGTTAAAATATTATATAAATATTGATATACCGTTAATGCAATTTTTGAAAATATAAGTAAACAAGGCTTCTAATTTCAAATAAATGATTTGAAATTATCCCAAATTGAATGTGATTTATGGTCAAAAACGTTTTTGCCTACTGACCCTTCGAATGTGTGTATGCGCAGTCAATTTAAAGGATAAAAAGGTCAGAATGTTTGAGATTTATTCTAGTTAATTTTTCTTCACCATTTGCCTATATTACTTATTCTGAACCTTTTCTGCTTCGGCCGTTTATTGCAAAATAACCCTATCAATCCCCACCAATCAATATATAGAATATAAATGGATGAACATTTTAGTTGTGAAAAATCAATGTGTTTAAATAAACCTATAATGAGAACATGTATAAAGATACAGATAAATTAACTTTGTAGTAAAACTCACCGTGACGTAATTAGCATTGATGTATTCTGTTGTGGGGTCGTTCCCGATCCTCCTCAGTGGTACTCTGGTTTCCGGCAGTGGTAGGACGTTGGAGTAGCGATTCTTATCCTCGCAGCCCGCAGGGACTTCCTCGGGACGCACCGACACAGATGGGATCTCCGCGAACTCCGCTGATATCGACTCCACGTCTAGAGCGAAGTTAGCTAAAGCCGGGTACTGCATTGGATGGGAGGTGACCTGGAAAGAAATGTTCAACAATATAGCTTAATCATGGATTCTCACCATTATTCATCAGATGGCAGCATCTTCTTGATAGAAACTCAATAAAAGAACGCGCGCGTGCGCGTGCGAGTGTGTGTGTGTGTATGTGTGTGTGTGTGTGTGTGTGTGTGTGTGTGTGTGTGTGTGTGTGTGTGTGTATGCGTGTGTGTGTGTGTGTGTACGTGTGAGTGCGTGTGTGCGTGTGCGTGCGAGTGTACGTGTGCGTGTGCGTGTGCGTGTGCGCTGTGCGCGCGCGCGTGTGTGTGTGTGTGTGTGTGTGTGTGTGTGTGTGTGTGTGTGTGTGTGTGTGTGTGTGTGTGTGTGTGTGAGCACAGCCATTACCGCAGCTCGCCGATTTAGAGCTTCCTCATACGACCGACTCTAAAGCCGATAGAATAAGGAATCGACCAAACTGTTATGAGAACAACATCCGTTTTACCTCATCATCATAAGCCGGGTTGCCGTAGCTCCTCTTGCTGGCACGCAAGCGATGGTTGCCTTTCCTGTGGCCCACGCTGACGCTGTCCAGACTGTACGCGTCCAGAGAGACCGGGGTACATCGCTGCGCGTACACGCCACGTCTGCCGCGACGTCGCACTACCAGCTGAAATTAAATATGCGATAATTGGCAACTCAGTCAGTTGAAATATTTTTTAAGAGTTGTCAACATCAATATTTCTATAAATATTATGTGTATGGCACTGAGTCTTTTAATAAGCTTGAGTAATTTATTTTTTTGTTTAAGAATCTCTGTATTGTAGTGAACCTTCTACCTCATCTCATTCCGAGGGTTTCATAAGAAGCGACATCGACAGAGGTAAACTTAAATCTAAAACAGGAAACGGACAGTAGAATTTTCCTGATAACAACTCTACAATAATTTAATAAAATTAGGGTTGCCGGCCCATATCCTAAGCGTAGCAAGTAATGCAAATATTTTCCTATGGGTTCAATCTATGGGAGAGCGCTGTATAGGTTGGCACCTTGCAATACCTTTTTTATTCATTTTGTATATTCTAAAAACCACCACTTGATTGTGCCTATAGACCTATCTCAATCTCCGTTGTCACTCCTGAGTACTAAGGATGGTTTGTTACCAATATTAAAGGCTTCCGGTTCTCGTCACTCTTCATACAAACCACAAAAGCATTATGCTGCTGTTTCGCTGGAAAACGTTAAGTTACTCATTTCTGAGAGGGTCTTGGGGCAAGGAAATATCAGCCGCGCAGCCCATAAAATAATAATTATTTATTTCAGACAACTTGTACATTCATATTGGTTAGTAAAGTTACTTAAAACTATTTTAGTAATAAAATAAGGTACAAAAATTACAATATAAATTAAAAATATAAAATATATTTTCGTGGTCTAAGAGTGATGATCCGGACATGGATTAATCACATGGAAAGTTAAGCAGCTTTATGTACGTATTACAAGAAGTTAAAAAAAAAAACAACAGATATAAGCACCGCGATAGCAACCCACTACGCGTATGCATATGCATGGCACAGCTACGGCCTACGGCATTGCCCTATGAGAATGCGGTACGGATGCCTCAAGTTTATTAACTAAACGAAAAAAAATAATACGAATCATAGCTAATAATTATAAACCTGTCTATATAATCAAAGGCTAATATAAAAAACACAGAAAGCTTACTTTAAGCCTTACTTTAAGAAGTAGGTATAACATTTTAAGCCTACCTTGTAAACTAGTGCTACCAACTTCAAAACTAAAATCTCATTCTTCCAGCCCATTTGACATATCTATAAAAATATATAATAAATTACCCGAATATATAAAAAACATTAAAGACGAAAAACCATTTGTAAAAAAAAAATTAAAGCAACTACTTATTAACAAGTGTTACTATAGTACTTCTGAATTTTTAGATGATAAAAATATAATATAACTAGCTTGCCAGGCAGACGTTGTTCTGCCCTTTTCGACGACAATTTGTCATGTCCTATTAAAAATTCTTATATTCGCAAAAAAAAAAAGTAGGCAAAAAAACTATCTTATCTCTCAAGTTGGACCAAACTGCACACGGTGTGCAAATTTGATTAAAATCGGTTAAGTAGTTTAGGAATTACAATAAAAAATTCTAATAAAATTTAAAATTATTCAAATACTTTAATAAAAATTCAATTGTGCTAACTATAATAATACCTCAAATGACAAAATCAATTCATTCATAAATAATAACACATAGGTAATATAGTAACCGTATTCAAATTCAATTCAACAAATAATATTAAATAATTATTCAACAATAATAATAATAAAACAAAATAAATTTTTCTCCTTCATAATATTGCTGTGCCTGATGGGTCTATAGAGATCATAGATAAGAGTGTATATACGGAAAATAGAGTAGAAAAAAATAGAGTAGAAAGAAAATAGAGTAGTAGAAATACCATAAAACTTTATAACACATTTTGTAACCTATGAAATGCAATAAAGTTATTGAGTATTGAGAAGGGGTAGGTGCCCGTGATCATTATTTTTCGCACAAAGCACCTCCAGAGCAGTGATGTGAATCGATTTGCTAATGTCTTTAGCATGCTATAGGAACTGTTCCTCACTCTACTGATCAGAGACCGAAGATAGCAAGCCAATTTCGAACGTGTTGGCGAACTTCAGTCATCACGACGCGTAGTCTATTTCGTTTTCTAAATATTTTTTTCTTATTTCCTAGACGTGCAGGTTTCCTCACGATGTTTTCCTTCACCGCCGTGTACGTTTTAAATGGGCACTTAAGTTTACAATTAACAATACAAATTTATTATATCTATGATACAAATAGTACAGACCTGCGAAAATTGAATCCGAATTCTTCATGTATTGTGACATTTATGGCGAGCGCTTAGCCCATAAGCTACCCCACAGAAATAGTAATAATATTATTACGATTTCTGTGAGTTACCCACACAGTCCACCTGGTGGTAATTGGATGTTGTGGCCCATAGAAGTTTACATTTATCCTCGATTAAGAATCAAAATGGTGATGCGTTGTCATCCCAGATGGTTAAGATGGAATGCCTCGTTTCCAGTTAAAAGGGTCTGCGGTCCTCTACACTCACCATACGAAACACAGCGACATTAAACTGCCATTTTACGGTGGCATTATGCGAGTGCGTGGTCGGTTTACGGACCCATTCATGCTACAGTCATAATATAGCTGCAACGTGGCTCTACCACTTAAAAATCTACCATGGATAATTACATGGATGATCGAGCTATGCTTGGCGTAAGTAAAAAATATTATTTAGTAAGGGATACAAGGCGAAATGTCAAAGTGTAGAGCGACCTCCCACTAGATGGAGTGACGACCTGGTAAGACGTGTAGAAAGTCTATGGATGCAGGTGGCTCAGGACCGTGCTTTGTGGTATACCTTGGGGAGGCCTATGTTCAGCAGTGGACTTGTGAAGGGCTAGATAAACTTAGAGTTAATTTTTTTTATATAAAACTACGTATACGTGGCGCCATCACGGCTCTACTTGTACCGGTACTAAAACATAATCGTATTTTTTGAGATCGTTCGTTTTCGATTTTCGAGAACACGATGGATTGATTCCGATGCAAGTTTTGTGAAATAGATTATTTAGGAATGTCTGCGTTGCAAAGGACAATAGACATAAAGACTCATAACCCCTTATCAAGCGAAGCAACAGCGAGTTTATACTACACCACTAACGGTTTCCGGTGTAAGCGACACCTTCAAATATTTTTATCGCGGGCACTCAAAGCTCAGCAAATTAATTGACCGGACTAAGCTGGTTATTGTTCATTCATCCTCATCCGATAAATTTGGTGTTCCTGTTTATTTAACAGTTATGCTTGCATATTAACAAACAATAATATAAGTCGTTAATAAATACCCATACTTGCAAAATTATTTAAATAAAGGTTATAGATAGGTAAGGTATATAAACTTTGATGCGTGTATGTATTTATAGTTATAATAAAGTATAATCTTAATACATATAAATTACGTGTGACGTTGTTTGTCCGCGATGGCGACCTAAACTACTTACCGATTTTAATCAAATTTGCACGCCGTGTACAGTTTGGTCCAACTTGAGAGATAGGATAGTTTTTTTTGCCCAAGTGGGACACACAATTTTTTGCTAAATTAAGGATTTTTAATAGGACATGACATAGGGTCGTGGCAAGCTAGTATATGTATAAAATACGTATCGGTGTAGCTCTCAGATACTCATAAAATGTATAAATACTATGTCCTGTTCAAAATATAGTGCGTTTCTGGGTGGTAGCATGGCAAACATCGAAACAGACAAACATAACGGCAGCTATATAGTGGTTGTAGCACGAATGGAGGTTCAACCAGGGAAGGAACACGCTCTCACAGAGTACCGGAGTGAAATAGCAGTTTAATGCTGCTATTTTTCGTATGATGAGTGTAGAGAACCGGAGATCCTTTTTAATGGAATCAAGGCAACGACCTCTTGATTCTTAATTGAGGATAAATTTAGATATCTATGGGCTACTACATCCACGTACCATCAGGTGGACTGTAAAAATATAAGATATAAGGAATTAGAATATTAGGATAGGGATATCAAATTATTATCATATCTTCGTTCTACAATTCTTGATTTCTTTTCTTTCAGAGTTGAATACCAGAATATGCTACTGGTAAACAAATGAATTTTTAAAAATATTGTATAGTTTTTTTTAACATAGGTACCACGTTTTCTTCTTATTATTACAATGTCATTAGTCAGAGCCGTGGTAGCTCAGATGGTTAGCGCTCGCTGTAAATTTCACAGTACGCGAGCAATCTGGGTTCGATCCCCGCCGGCACCAATGAAATTGTTAATTGCAATTTTAAGTGCTGATTTACCACGTGCTCGGCGATGAAGGAAAACATCGTGAGGAAACCTGCATGTCTGAGAAATAAGAAAAAAAATATATTTCGAAGACATGTGAAGTTCGCCAACACGCATTGGACTAGCGCACCAGATATTTCATTACCCTAAAACCCTCTCAGAAATGACGGGAGGCCTGTGCCCAGCTGAAGGACGTATATAGGCTGTAACTTTACTTTACTTTACTTTAGTCATCACGTTCTTAACTATGTTCCAAATTTCAAGTCTAGATTATCGGGAAGTTAGTTTCAAATCAAATACCTACTAAATTCGACCCGAACAAACATACACGAAAGCAATTTAAAAAAAACGTTAGGCTAAACTTAATCTTAGGTTTTCGCCGCAAACAAGAAAAGATTTTTTAATACGTGGTAGAGCCACGCTGCAGCTATATTATGGTTGTAGCACGAATGGGTCGGCTCGACCGGGGAAGGACAACACTCTCACAAAATAGCAGCTTAATACTGCTGCATTTCGTATGGTGAGTGTAGAGATCCGGAGACCTTTTTTTGGAATCGAGGTATTCCATTTTAGACCCCAGGGGTGACTTAATCGAGGATAAATATAGGTCTGTGGGTCACAGCATCCACTTACCATCAGATGGACTGTGTGCTCGTTCATCACCCTGATCCTATAAGAAGATCAATATATTTACATGGTGTGAGGCATTACATCTTAGATTATTCTTCACGGCTGGCAAGTCAACTGTGG